CTCCATCTGGGAGGACATCAGATGCTGGAGCGCCATGTGTGCCGGGACCGCTGAGCCTCGGGATTTCTTGGGATGTTCTGGAACAATCCATGTCAGAAGCATATTCAAACAGAGCAACTGACGCTCATGTCAAAAATCTGGCCTTAAAGAACGCTCTCAAATCCCTGCCTCCACCAGACCCAGGTGAAGAAGCTACTTAACCGAGAGAGACCACAGTGCCAGGCAGTACTTTGTGGCCACTTGGTATATGGAGTATATTTTTTATTCATAAATGATATACATGTGTGCCTCTACTGAGAGTGTTATAAAATAAAAACTTCCAAAACAGAGATAAAGTACTCATGGGTGAGCCAGGCTGCGTGAGATCACAAGTTCAAATCCTGACTCTGTCCCCTCCCTAGCTGTGATTCCTTCCAGGAGTCCCAGTTTCTTCATCCAGAAACTGGAAGTGTTTGTCCCTGTGCCCTGAGGGCTGTTGGGGGAACTCAGTGAGACGCTGCGTGCAAAGGGCCCGACATGTGGTCAGGCAGAGAATGAGCTACAACAGTGACCAGGTTTCTTGAGAGGCGGGGGCCCTGCTTAGGTCGGAGGGAGTCACGCCAGGTTTCTCAGCGGAGGGGATAGCTATGTTGTACCTCAAAGCATGGAAAAACAGTCACTAGGTGGAGAAGGATGGGAAAGGTATTTGCACAGAGGGAGCCGAATGTTCATGTCGGGAGGCATGAACAATGCATTTGGGGAAAGGCAAGCTGTTTGAGTATTGTTAGAGGGCAGAGTGAATGTGTGCTGGGGAAAGGGGTGGGGGGCAAGAGATGGGGTTGAAGAAAGCAACAGGCCACGGAAGGCCTCGTAGGTCACAGGACTAGAGCACTGGGGAACCGTAGCAGGCTCTGAGCAGGGGAGAGACCTGACAGGAGTAGGTTTGTGGTTTAGCAAAATCCTTCTAGATGGGAAGGGGCAGAACTGGGGCAGGAAACCAGGGATGAGTATAGACATGAAGGATGAAGTGGGGAAAAGGGACCAAATAGACAATTGGACCAGCGTAAGGAGGGGGAGGAAGGAGAATATATAAAATCTTTAAAAGATAGAATGGAGATGAGTGATGGGTTATGGGAGGTAAGGGGAGGAAGGTACCAGGAGGAGGCCTAGAACTCTGGCCCAGGAGACAGGGTCTATGTGGGACTACGGCTGAGCTGGGGACCTGGGAGAAGGAGGCACAGGTGTAGGAGGAAGCTGTTGAGGTCAGGGTGAAAGTCTGTGGGACAACCGGAGGAAGGCATTCAAGAGGCTTCTAGACACATGGGTCTGGAGCACAGGAGAGACGGTGAAGCAGAGGCTGGGAGGCCGACAGAGCTCAGACAGGGCTGAAATCCTGACAGTGGGAGAAAGTGGAAGGCGCAGTAGGGTAACTTCACCATCAGCCAGTGATGACAGCAGAAAGTGGTCCTGCCCGGGACAGTAGCCTTGGTATCAGGTTCTCATCCTGGTCCGTACCTGGGGACAGGAAGATGAGCAGACCCAAAATCCCCACAGGAGTGCCTGCCCAGTGGGGGGTAGAGGGCACAGATGTATACAAGCAGTACATGCCTCCCTGGGGGCAGTGTGTAATGAATGGGTACTTCAGGGGGTACAGTGATCCATTCCCAAGGACTAGGGGCAGTGGAAAGTGTCAGGACCAGTTCCTGGTGGGGGGGGGGCACAGAGAGGGAAAGCGAATTAACTGGGAGTCTCTCAGTTTCAAATGCAAACTAGTTTAAGGAAATGTATTGGTTCACATGATCAGAAGGTTGAGTACACCAGCTTCAGTTACAGCTTGATCCAGGAGCTCAAATGATGATATGAAGTCACTATCCCATCTCTGGGTTTCATATTTCTCTGATTTTTTTCCTCAGCAAGACTTTCCTTGAGGTAGCAAAGATAGCCCTAGCAGCTTTAGGCTCACATCTCATCCTCTTAGCCACCCCAAAGGGAAGAAAGTGCTCCTAGCCAATGGTCCCATCATTCGTTGTCCTAAATGGGTCACATGCTCACCTCTGAACCAATCACTGTCGTCAACGGACAGCCCAACTGGAATACTGTGATTGGCTGGGCCTAGGACACATGCCATTCCCTGGAAACGGAGGATGGGGTGAGCCCCAAGACAGCCAGGTGAACTGAAATTGAGAAAGCGGTGGTTTCCCAAAGAAGAAGGCCGGCAAAACTGTAGATGCCCATGTGGCTGGGAGGAAAGGAAGGTTGGAAAACAGATTTTCTCATACGTTAATGGGGCGTGGGAATAGTACCTCACCTCTAAGGATTAGGGTGAGGATTCCATGAATTAACGCAGGTGAGACATTTTAGTAGACTGCTAGGTAAACAGCAGGTGCTGGATAAAAGGTAGCTATTATTTAAAAACTAGTAATCAGTATTACTACTACTGATGATGAGTGGCTATGCTGGGAGAAGTGAGCTCCCAGCCTCAGGAGGAGACCAAACTGGAACTGAACAATTTAAGCAGTGAAAGCTCATGTAATCTACACTGTACAAGCTCAGTCCCCAACTGGTTCTTCTCCAGGCTTCTGTCTCCAGGTCTATGAAATGGGATGAGTGAGGGGACTGCATGAAACCAGAAGGTCATTTTAGAATGTCACCTCCTCAGAAAAAGGCCTTCCCTGACTACTCTTACCAAAGTATCCCCTTTATTATAATCTATCCTCCCATTTAATTTCCCTTACAGTGCTTACCCACAATCTGAAATCACCTTATTTATTTACTGTTTGTCTCCCCCATTAGAACGTCAGCCCACGAGGGCAAGGATCTCTCTTCTGCCTTGTTCACTGCTGTGTTCCCAGCACCCAGCAAGCCCTTGATAAATACTTGTTGAATGACTAGATAAATACTGCTTATAAAAACAGAGTGCCTAGTTTCCTGATAGGTACTGGGTTCTCCATTAAGGGAAGTGTCCAAGCTGAAACTGAAAGAGCGTACCTTGCAATTCATGATGCAATCCAGTTCCTCTCCAGGCCTCAGTTTCCTCATTTATAAAATGGGTGTGTGGCGGAGGTTGGGGGTCTGGGGGTGTGTGAAGTCTTGGCCCAGCCCCTGCCTGCTATCCCCGCAGGAGCCACCAGAGGGCGCAGCGCCTCTGCCCAAAAGTCGGCGCTCAGCCGCTTGAGTCCGGTTGGATGCAGCCCGGTTGGATGCAGCCCGGTTGGATGCGTCCCGATAGTCCTGGAATATTCTGAGCCGCGCTGGCTTCCAGGCGTCCAGGAACCCAAGAGTTCGTGCGGATGGGGGCGGGGGGGTGTCCGCGCTCCTCGAAGTGGGGCGGTTGGGCGGGAGGTGACTCAGGCGCGCGGCCTCGGCCCCCAGTTCTCGCGAGGGAGCGCGCACGGCCTCTGGAACTCGCGCGGCGCCGCGTCCATTTTTACCCGAGCGCCGCTAAAAATAGTCCTCGCGCTAGGAGCTGAGCCCGAAATAGCGGCCTCCAGATAAGGCAGTGCGACTCAGCGCTTCCGGGGAGCGGAAGGGGGAGGCAACGTGGGGCGGGGGGGCTGGGGGTGGGCCTGGGCTCGACTGGGCCTCGCCGCGCAGCCCCGGCCGGACGATCGGCCCCCGCCGTCGCCGCATTGACCCCAACCTGTCACCAGCCTCGAATCAGCACCCCCAATCCTCCATCCTCCCGATCCCCTGTCTCCTGGTACCCCGCATCCTCTGCTTCCCCTCCATTCTTCATCCCTGACCATTATCTACCTCCCCCTTCCCTATCCTAATCTTCACTCCTAGCCCTGACGCCCCCTCCCCGAGTCCTCAACCTACTCTCCCCGAAGTCCTGTCCCTATTCTCCCTCCCCAGCCACAGCACGAATCTTGCGCCTCTCTGAATCCGCCGCCCCCCTTCCAGTTCTTAGCTCCACTTCTATGGGGGGGGAGGATGGGGAGGTCACAGGAAGTCACACCAGACCAGCAAGCAGAGGGCTGGGGATGAGGCTCTGACTTCTTGCTTAGTTTCTACAGTGGATTGAGTGGGCTTAGTTCTGGGTCTTAGCCAGTTTCAGGGCTCATACTGTGCCCAGGATCAGGGATTCAGGCCTGGGCCAGGGTTGGGGCTCAGACTGGGGTCACACAGGTCTATCACCAAGGTTGGGGTCACCAGAGTCAGGGCTCAGCCTGGCACCCACTGTTTAGTTCAACAAACCCAATTCTACTATGATTCTTCCCTCTCTTGCAAGTCAGTGATGGGACACGACAGCTCCAGGCAGTGGGAACAGCCAGGAACCCTGCTCCCTCTGGGCCTAGGTCTCCCTCTTGCACTTGGATCTTCTGGGCACCTTCCCACTCTGATATCCTGTGACTCTTTCAGTGCCCACTCCAAGTATCAGCCTCAAGGGTCTTATATCGCATTTACCTGAGATTCAAAGTCTGCATCCTTCTAGTCTCTGAAATATCACAGGACAGAAACTGCCCTGACCTGTGTGAACCCAGGGAGCACAGTGTAGTAGACAGATGTTGCTTCGGTGAAAATTCAGGCAGAACTCTTTGGCTGTGGATGGAAGGCAGCCTCAAGTGGTGTCCCTGTCCCTAGTGGACACCAAGCTTTAGCCAGGTGTCCAACTGTTATGTTGTCTGGATGGGACTCGACTGCCAGGCAAAGGGACTGAGCTGGAGGATCCTTTAAGGCAAGAGGAATCATGTAGTTGGATGAAGGAATTAGGAGGCTGGAAAAGTCAACAAGGACCAGACAGAAATGGGCCCCATGGGCCATGGTGAGGAGCCTGGGCCATGGTGAGGAGCCTGGACACACAGTGAGGAGCTCCCCCAAGGGCACTGGGGAGCCATGGCAGGTTCTGAGCAGGGGAGGGACAGAGGAAGGTTTAAAGACCTTTCTGACTGCTTCCTTGAGGTAGACTGAGGAAGGGAGGGGGAAAGGAGGGGCCTGGACCTAGGTAGGAGTGGGAGGAGGGGAAAGAGGAGGAGAGAACAGATTTGAAAGTCAGTGAAGGGCTCCCCTGGTGGTGCAATGGTTAAGAATCCGCCTGCCAATGCAGGGGACAGGGGTTCGAGCCCTGATCTGGGAAGATCCCACGCTTTGCAGAGCAAGTAATCTCTTGTGCTACAACTACTGAAGCCTGTGCACCTAGAACCTGTGCTCCCCAACAAGAGAAGCCAGTGCAATGAGAAGCCCGTGCACTGGAACGGGGAGTAGCCCCTGCTCATCTCAAGTAGAGAGAGCTGGTGTGCAGCAATGAAGACCCAAGGCAGCCAAAAATTAATTAATTAAATGCTTTAAAAATTGGGGGAACATGTATTGGCAAATACAAGAGTATACCTTGACAAAGTAAATTCTCTTCCTTCCTCTGATCCCCACTTCTCACTGTTAACTATTTCTTGTGTACCTTGGCCAGTAGGATTCATTGAGCTCTCACGATGTCCCCAGCCTGTGCTAAGCCTGTCACAGAAATGACCTTGCTCAAATCACTCACCACCCAGTGTGTTGGCCAGGCACCATTGCTATACCCATTTTAGAGAAGTGAAGCCTGAGGCTTAGAGAAATGCAGGGATGTGTCCTATCAAGGGCCTGGCTTTGAAGGTTTTTCAAAATTGAAGGTATGGGAGCAGGTGAGATCAGAGAGGAAAAAGTCCAAAGGGCCAGAGCCCAGGGGACTGGAGGGGAGTGGCAGGGAGTTCAAGGGGGCTGCCTGGAGGAGGAGTGAGGAAAGCTAGGAAGGTACCTTCCAGAGCCTTCTGATGAAGGGCTTAGGTGGAAGTAAGTCACTCTGTTTGGGAGGCTGAGGTACCCCTGGCAGCAGGGCAGAACCCTCTCCTCAGGCCCCAGAGGTGTTCATAGGAAGAGACTGAGGCTGCTTGATGACATCTCAGGGACACGGTGATAGCACAGCCGGCTGTTATGACGTCTGAGTGATTCGCCACCTGCCTGTTATGACCAGCATCTCTAGTCATGCCGCATGGGGGGGATGAGGATGGGAGGAAGTGACAGGCCACAGGGGGTGGGGGTGACAGGGATGCAGTCATTTAGAGACCAGGGACTCAGCAGCTGAGAGATGTGTTCTGCCCCCTGCACTAGGGAAAGTTGGGTGAGAGGATCCACGTTTTGGTGTTCTGTTTAGTGAAGAAGGTCTACTAGTTTCAACAACGTTTGGCTGGGATGGAGTAGGTCTGGGCTCAGAATCAGGGGTCAGCCCAGAGGCTGCTGAGATCAGGGACATCTGTTTTGTTTGCTGCTGGGTCCCCATCACCTAGGACATAACTGGCACACAGTAGGGGCTCAATACATCTTTGTTGAATGACTGAATCAAATGAAAGGGGTCAGCACTCTCTGGGCCTCAGTTTACCTTTTTGCCTAACAGCCCTGGCCATCAGGCCACCTCAGCCAATGGCGTTGCTAGGGATACCCCTCCCCACCTAGGGTCTCAGATCTCAGTCCTCGCTCCCGAGTGGGGTGGGGGTGAGCAAAAAAAGGAGTTAGTGCCTCTGATGGACTCCGCCCAAGTGTGATGTCACAAGCCGCTCTGGGATCCCGACCCGTGTCGCTCCCTTGGGATGGGGCGTGGAGAGGAACCCGGGAGTCCTAACTTCCGCCGCTCGCCGGGGCCTGGCACTGTTACATAACCCCCGACGTCGCGTCCCCAGGGATGTCGCCGGACGTCCTGGCCAGGCTGGGGACAATGGGCGGGGAGAGGCCCTCCCGCCAGGAGCCTGGAAGTGGCAAGGGCACCCTCTCCTCTGATTCACCCTTGTTTCCGGCCCGTTTAAGCCTCCTCCTTCTCCTCAAGAATCCCTATCTCCCCCAAACTCTCTACCCTCACATCTTGTCCTCCCTAAATTTCACCTCTTTCCCCGAGCCTGGAAATATGTCCTCTACCCAAACTCCCTGCCCTCACACCAGTCCCCTGTGATTTCTGAATCCCCTAAACGTCCAGTTTCCCACGCCCTCCTTCACTCACCCATCCGCGGGCCCCTCTCCCGGGTCCCTCAAACTAGCCCCCACTTCCTACCCCGCCCCCGCCTTCCCAATCTCCTCCCTTGGCTCCCCCAAACTTCCCCCATCATCTGTCTCCCCCAAACCCCTTCCCACCTCCCTCAAACTGACCCCGAATACTCTTTCTCGTCCCTAATGCCAGCCCTCTCTTGTTTCCCCGAAACTGCCCCAGTATCTCTACCTCGTTCCCGCCAAATCGGGTCCCCCATACCCTCCCGGCTCCAGACAGCCGCCGGGTCCCCCGGCCCCAGGCCCCCGGCCGCCCGCGCCCTTCGCCGGCCCGCTCCCAGGCCCGGCTCCGGTTCCCAGGCCGCCCTCCCGCGGTGGCCTAGAGACCCAGTTTGCAGCGGCAAAACATTGGTCTCCGGGCAACAGGCCCCGCCCGCCCCAGGGCGGCCCGCTGCGAGCCCAGCAGCGCCGAGGCCGAGACTGCGCGCGGAGGCGGGGCGGGCTCACAGGGCAGGGGCCTTCGCCTCCGGAGGCCCGCAGGGCGCAGAAACCCGGGGAGACGGCAACGCGGAAGTAGCGATTCAGGGCCCCGGAGCCAGAAAACCTCGAGAAATTCGTGGAGGCTGAAGCCACAGGGAGCTGTCTGGGGCGCAGTGATAAAGAGACCGCGCGACAAAGCAAACAAGGACCGGGCCCCGAAATAAACTCGGGGATGGCGAGGCTAAACACAGACACCCCACGGGTCCGCAGGGACGCCCCTGAAGGCAGGATAATCTGCCTCAGCTCGTCTGGGCCATTGCGCTTCTGTCTCAGGGGCCTCCCTCTCTGACCCTCAGTTTCCGTATTTGTAAAATGGGTAGCGCCCAGCACAGAGGGCTGTCGTGACAATAGGGCTGTCGTAAGGATTCAGGGAATTCACCGACCTGGAGCTCGTGGCACACTCTTGGCACATCCCATCCGTCATTCATTCGTTCAACAGATATTTATCGAGCACCCATTATGTGCCCTGCACTGTGGTAAGTGCTGGGAATTCAACAGAGAGCAAAACAAAGATCCCTGTCTTCGTGGGAGCTTCCACTTTGGGAGTGGGGAAGGAGGTGATGGACGATATAGAAGCACAAATTAGCACATTATGTAACACGCTGGAAAGTGGTCATTGCCGGGGAGGTGGAGAGGGAGGGAGGGTTGGGGCAGCCGTTTTAAATAGGGTGGTCAGAGAAGGCCGACCTGAGAAGGTGATGCTTGAGCAAAGACTGGAAGTTGGTGAGAGAGGAGCCTGCAGATATCCCGGCCAAGAACATGCCCGTCAGAGGGAGAAGCGGGTGCAAAGGCCTTAAGGTGGGAACATGCCTGGTGTGTTGGATTCACAGCCGGAGGCCCATGTGGTTGGAGCAGAGAAAGCAAGGAGAGAGGGAGTGTCAGAGACACGGGGCCTGTGGGCCATGGTGAGCGCTTTGGTTTTTATTCTGAGTGAGTTAGGAGCCATGGGAAGGTTTTGAGCAAAAGAGGGACATGGACTGATTTTGATTTAAATAACCTCCCTCTGGCTGCATGTGGGGAATAGACTTTGGGAGGCCAGAGTGGAGGCAGGGAGACCAGTGAGGATCCCCAGGCAATCGTCCAGGCAAGAGGTGATGGTGACTTGGAAGGTGCAGCAGGGATCAGATTCTGGAGGTGTTTGAACATAGAGCTGTAGAATTTGCTGACAGGCACATTCATGGCAAGCCCTCAGTAGATGGCATTAGTTACCATGATGTTAGGGGGTGCTCACAAAATCTTCATAGAAGTCCTTATCATCCCCATTTTACAGATGCAGAAACTGAGGCCCCAGGAGGTCACTCAACTTGCCCAAGGACTCAGCTCAGTCTGGCTCCAAAGATGGTACCCCTCTATTAGGTTGGCTATTCCCAAATCCAAAACACCCTCAGAGTCTGGAACTATACCTAAACTTATCCATGTGGGCCCCAGGACCCCTGGAGCTATATCCTCATCAACCACACCCAGTGGGCGTAGAAAGTGGTGGCCTGATGGAGAATGCTGCCTGACTGCTGTTCCGGTTGTCAGGTAGTCACCCATGCTGGCCCGGAACACTTGCTTAAAGGCAGGCATGTACATGTAGAGAGGGTACACCCAGAACCTCCCAGCCCAGCATCCGCTTCCCGCACTCAGTCCCAGCACTGGACCCAGGCACACCCCAGTGCTGCCTGCAGTGACCTGTTTAATACAGTCACACACTCACAGGCAGATAGGTACGTGGCCCTCCCCCGTGGAGGTACCTTTTCAGGTGATGTGCAGCAAACGCAATTTCTGGCTTTATCTCTTTGTGTTTCCATATCTCTCGGTCTCTTTCTCTCTCTCTCTCTCTCTCTCTCTCTCTCTCTTTCTGTCTTGCTATCTTTGTCTCTCTCTGTCCCCACCCTGACCCCCAGATCTGTCTCTCTGACTCCTCACACTCAGGACCCTCTACCTGCAGGGGAAATCACTCTTCTCCCTGGCCACGTGTCTCCGCAGAACCTCACCTATTATGTGACATCAGAACCTGGCATCAGCCAACAAGGACCTACAGTATAGCAGAGAAAACTATACTCAATATTTTGTGATAATCTATAAGAGAAAAGAATCTGAAAAATATATATATATATAAACTGAATCACTTTGCTGTACACCTGAAACTAACACAACCTTGTAAATCAACTATACTTCAATTAAAAAAAAATTTAAAAAAAAAACTGGCATTGGGACACATGTGTGGAGGCCTCAGGTCAGCTGCTCAGAATTACTCAGGCAGGATCTCACACGTCATAATCCCTGCCACTTCTTTCTCTGAGATTCCGACCCACAGCTTTTGGGTGTGGGACTGGGGCAATCCACTTTTATCAAGCTCCCCAGGTGATGGGGACTTGCACTAGCTACTCCATCTAATTTTGCACAAAGGGAAGAGCAGAGGTCCAGAGAGCAGAGAAGCCATCCCAGCACCCCACAGCACTCAGCTGTGAGGGGCTTGGAGCTGTCCAGAATCGATGGGAACAAGTTTGGGAGTTAAATTAAATAATAAAAGAGAATCACAAAGACACAGAGGCAGACCCAGAAGACTCAGAGAAAGGGGAGTGGGAGGGGGGGCAGAAATCCAGAAAGGGGCTCAGGGGAACAGAGACACAGAGTGACAGAAATGCACAGAGATGGTGCAACAGAGACAGAGAGACAGGGGTCAGAAAGATGCAGAGAGAAATTGGAGGCATATTAAGAGACAGAGACTGAGAGACAGTCATTTCGGGGGATAGGGAGACCCCAAGAGGGGCACGTTTTCAACAGTATACATGTGGCCCACATTTTATAGGCTCTACTTCCTAGAAGCCACCAGTGCCGTAGTTTGACAATTGCAGGCTTACCAAGCCAGGTTCCCTCCCTAGGCCCTACATGTAGGATGCACGTTAAACACGTTTATATAACCTGCCCTCTGTGCAGAATCTAGGAGCTTTACATAACATAGCCCCATGAGTCATGCTGCAGACGTGGGGCAGTGACCTGACACGCCCAATGAGAGGGGACCCCTCACCCAGGACTGTTACCTGGAAGTGACTCTGTGAGAAGTGAGAGATCATAGGTTTCACTGAGGAGGACGTAGAGGGTCAGAGAGGGCAAGGCACTTGCTCTGGGGTCACACAGCCAGGGTCCAGTAGGGCAAGAATTCCAACCTCATCTGCCTGATTCCATTGCCTTTGCACCCCAAGACACCAAGAAAGGCAATGACTGCCAATGCCCTGTGATGTGCTCCTTTACAGACTGGAGGAAATAATAAAAATATCAGTGATAATATGACAGCCCCCGTGTATTAAGAACGCTGTGCTGCAATAAGTACTTTACAAACACCATATCATTTATTCCAAATCCCAGTGAAGAAGGGACAGAACCCAGTTGTTAAATAACATAATTATACTTGTTATGTACGGAGCACTTACTATTTACTAAGTGCTTAACAGGATTTCATACAGTCACAATTCTGGAGGCGGGTGATGTTTTCACTCCCAATTCAGGAAGGAAAGAGGCTCAGAAAAAGGAAGTTACAGGTCAAGGTCACAGAGTGGGTATTTGAACCCAGGTCTCTCTCTCCGTTTATTTCTGCCACCTACTGCCCCGTGGACGTGCGTGCCCACAAGTGCGCCTATGCACATGTGCAATCAACCTAACATCTTACACTAACATCTCAAAAACTTTAGTCCAAATATCAACAGCTCCTGCCTCGTATTCTTCCTCTACTCCAAGAGGGCATAACCCGGTCTCCAATCCCCTAAACCTCCCCGACACCCGGGGAGCAACCCTCTCCTCTCCCAGCAGCGCCTCAGTCCCGCGACGCGGTCCGAGCTGGAGCCAGTAAAGTGTTCCTGGCCCTTTAAGAGAAGGAACAGTCGGCCGGCGTTGCCCGGCAGCGCCACGGCGGTTGCCAGGCAACGTCAACAAACGACACGGCCACTGTCTCCGCACACCCCCCTCCCCCCGCCCGCGCCGACGCGGTGACGCGACGGGCTGTGGAACGCCGTCGCTTAGCAACGTGAAGGCTGTTTGTCCCGGGCCTGGCCGCGCGGCCGCACAGGGCGCAACCAGGACCAGCCAGGGCGGACAGACTGGCCGGCCGGGAGCCTGGTGGTGGGGGGTGGGGGGGCGCTGCGGTGATGGGAGCGGGGGAGAACCAGGTCCCCAAATTGCCGGTTTCCCTTTAGACAGCCGCCGTCTGCTTGTCACCCGCTCCTCCTGTCTGACCTGGGACCGCCTCCGCTGGGTATCTGTCCGTCTGCGCCCCCTCGTCCCAGGCATGTCTGTCTGTCCAGCATCTCCTGCGCCGTGGCTGTCTCATATTCCCCCAAACAATAACAACTGAAATAGATCCAAGCACTCTTCTCTGGCCTGCTGCTTTTGCCTCCGACTCCTGGGTTTCTGGGTGCACTGTTCCGTTTGGGGTCCCAACCAGTGGAGACAGGCACAGTGAACAACCTGTGCGTGCCCATACATACTCAGAGCCACAGCGCGAGAGCTCCCTCCCGTTCCTTTCCCCGCTCCCCTCGGGTTTTCTTTTCTTGCGTGTCTTTCTGGAGGCTCTTTCATCAGACAAGCAGCCCGAGGTCCTTCCATCCTGTGTCCAGGAAGCTGTCCACAGCTGGAAGGCTTTAATAGCTCATCCCCAACACACACCCCCGACACCCCCCATTCAGTAGCTTCATGTGACCAGGGCTGGGGCGAATGTCCAAGGAGAGAGAAGAAATTGGGTGTGTGACTGTGAATGTCTGTGACTGTTGGTGAGTGATTCTGTCAGTGACAATGTGTCTACCTGGGATTTCCTGTGTGAGAGCATGCTCAGGAAGGCTTCCTTCGTGTGTGAGAGCAACTGCTGGACTGAGTGAGTGGTTTCCCCAGTTTGCATTTGTGTATCTGGATGTATGGGTATTTGAGCCCTGCTGACTTGTGTTCATGTATGTGTTCGCGTGTGTGTACTTGTGAGAGTCTTCTTGTGTGGTCATACATGAAACAATGTGTGTGTGGGTACCTATGGATGTGTACGGTTTTGCCTCTGGCTTGCATTTCTGGCTGTGTGTGTATGTGTGTAGTTCTGGATCTCAACGTACGGTCATCTGTGTGTAACTATGCAGGTAACTGTTTGTCAGCCAGTTGTCTCTCACAGTTCTTTCCACAGTGTTTATCACAATTTTTCATTATATATTTGTTTGTTTACTGTCTCCCCAACTGGGCTGCGTGCCCCATGAGGGCAGGGCCCAGGGCTGTTGTGGTCACCACTGGGTCCCCAGCACTGCCCTGCACACAGTAGGTGCTCAGTAATTATTTGTTGAGCAAATGAATCAGTGACTCATGTGTGTCCATGTCAAGTGCACACATTTGTGTAACTGTGTGAATGGTTCTGTGCTTCTGGGTGGCAGTCTCCTCTGTGTGCCTTCCAGCTTTGTAGCTGCATCTGGCTGTGTAGCTCTAATTTTCAGCACCCACCACACTGTGAAATATAGCAGAGCTTCAGTCAATATTTGTGGACTTGAACTGTATTAGCATTAGGACCTCTGTGTACCTCAGGTTTCTCATCTGTAAAATGGGAATAATTGTACTCACTCATGGGACTGCTGTGGGGAGTAAATGAGTTCATGTAGAGAACATTTGGAAAGTGCTCGGCACAGAATAAATGTTTACAAAATACCACACTTGACTGTCAGCAGTATTACTACTTCCTCTCTGTGTGCCCCTGTATGCATGTGTCCAGAATCCGAGCTACAGACTCAGGCGTGGTTCTGAGCTAGTGGGTACCAAAATACCTCTGTGTGTCAGTTTCCTTCCTACAAAATGGCAACAGGCCTCCTCCAGGGGTGGCTGTGACCAAATGAAGCTGTGTCTCTAAGTCTTGACCCTGGTGTAAGGACCTAGGGAGCGCTCAGTGTCTGCAAGGCCAATCATGATCATCACTGTGAAGCTCAGGTTCTGGGGAAGGCAGTGGAGGGGCAGAGTTTGGGGATGGGGAAAGTAGAGGTTCAAATCATTCAATGGGACTGGGAATGAGTAAAGTCCATGAGGGAAGAAAAGGCTGCAGCAGGCTGGCTGAAGGTCAGAATCCTGAAAGGACTTCCCTCAAGGGACGGTTTGGGGGCTAAGGATTAAAAGTAACTGGAACTGTTTGGAGAGCTGCCTGGAGGAACAGAAACCAGCCTGAGTCTTGCAGGCTGGTGGAATTTCGGGAGGGGGTAACGATAGCAATAATAATGTTGTACAGTGTTCAGGCTCTGATGGGCCTTTGTGAGGAATTTCTGTCTTGTTCTCAGCTCTGTCTCTGTTGCCTAGAGAGCCTGACACAGGGGAGGTGCTGAGAACATGTGTTTGAATGGCTGATTGAATGAATGAACGAATGAATGAATGAATTTCATCCTACAATAACCTGTGAGTTCTGGTCTCCAGAGGAGGTGAGGAGGTCCTGGTGGGCTGCCACCAGGTGGGCCCCTAGTCTCTGAGATCTGCCTGGTGCCTGTCCCCAAGCCCGCTGTTCCCACAGCTCACGGGTGTGGAGGGTGTGGAGGGCGTGGAGGAGGCCGGGAAGGGAGGGTCAGGCTGCTGGCTGCCGGCCCTGGAGAGCTGCCCAGAGTGTCTGCAGGAGGGAGAGGGTAGCTCAGGCGCCTGAGTCACCTCGGAGAAACCCCGGCCGCATACCTGGCCGCTGACATCACCGGCCAGGGCACCCCCCAGTGGCCCAGACAAGCCGACTGAATCACAGGTGGAATTCAGCCACCCGGGGCGGCGCGGGCACGTGGCCCGCTGTGAACCCCCCCATGACACCCCCCCCCCGTGTCCGTCTGGCTGCGGGGGCCGGGCAGGCCGCATTCGGGTCAGTGAGGGGGCGTGGGGCCTGAGTCAGGGACGGGGCAGCTCCAGCCTGAGACCACCCAGTCCAGCCGCAGGCGTCCTCAAGGTGCAGGAAGGGGAGGCGGGGGAGAGCCGGTGGGGAGGCCCCTGGGCCGTGAAGAGGAAGCCCGCTCGGGTATGACTGGGAGGCTGTGGGTTGTGGCCAGCAGCTGGTTGACCTGCTGGGGGTGGGATGGGGTCTGGGTGTTTGCGCAGAGAACAATGG